ATCACAATCATGCTCCTGGCTCTCTAGCTTACTAGGTTTTCAGCTAAGTATTTCACATCTAACCCTCCTATAGCCAGCCCAGACATGCCCACATCTCTGTGCTGTGCATTCTTGATTTCCTATAGATCACATTAGTTCTAGGAGAGAGGTAAAAAACCTGTTCCTTTCTTTTACTTGCATCTTTTTCTCTCAATACCTCTCAGAAGTCTCTAACATACCCCCCTTTTATGGCATTCTCAGTCACCAAATTTATCTCATACTCCTCCTAGTGGTCATTTATTAAATTTCTAATCATTGTTAACTTCTTTAATGTGATATGCCCCTTAAAATCTTTTTAGAAGTCACCCCTTTCTGACCTGATCTGATATAATTATTGCATTTGAAAACAAATTATAATAAATGCTTTAAAATTTTAATACACTTATAAAGTTCAAAAAAAGTGAACATAAATGATATAATGTTTAGGGATATATGTGGTATAAAGCAAGAGAATGATAAACATAAAATTCCCTCAGGTTTGAGGGTGGCAGGGGCGAAGGATGTGGAGGAGCATGTAGTTAGACATAGGTTATTATTAAAGTCTAGGTTTCTTTAGCTTTTTTATTATGGCAAATAGAATAGTATAATGAATTCCATGTACCCATCACTGAGCTTCAATAATTATGAACATTTTGCTAACTTTTTAAATCTATTCCCCTATTACTTTTTTTCCTGGCATATTTTAAAGCAAATCTCAGACATTATGTAATTTCATAAATGCTTATTATCATCTCTAACTGATAAGGATATTTTTATTTTTACCTAATGTATTAGTCCATTTCTGTTGCTTATAACAAAATATCTGAAACTGGGTAATTTATAGAAAAAAAACAAAATTTGTTGCTTTCATTTCTGAGGCTGAGAAGTCCAAAGTCCAAGGAACACATCTGGTGGTGGCAACACTGACCCAGGCATCTCACATTGCAAGACGGTGGAAGCAGAGAGCAGAGCAGAGCAAGAGAGAGACTCTTCATGTTCCCCTTTTACAACCCTCCAAACCATACCCATGACCACCATTTTTAATTCATTCACTATGGCATGAATGGTCCTATAATCTAATCACTTCTTCAAGGCTCCACCTTTCGATTATCATTATAGGATTTCCTACCCTCCTAACAGTCACAGTGGAAGCTAAATTTCTAATACATAAGACTTAGGGGATATACTTCAAGCTTCGGTGAGCGTTGGGGGACATAATTTAATCCACTACATTCTGCCCCTAGCCCCTCAAAACTTATGTCTTTTCACATGCAAATACATTCATTTCATCCCCAGTGTCTTAACTTGTTTCAACTCAAAAGTCCAAAGTTCAAAGTCCCATCTATGAATTCAAAATAAGTTATTTACTGCCAAGATAAAATGGTGGGACAAGCACAGGGTACATATTCCCATTCCAAAAGGAGGAAATAGTTCAAAAGAAAGGTGTAATAGGTCCCAAACAAGTCCAAAACCCAGCAGGGCAGGTATTAAATCTCAAAGCTGGTGAATTAGGTACCTTGAGTCCTTGTTCCATGTCCTCTGCACTCTGGTGTGGGGGTTGGTTCCCAAGTCCTCAGGCAGCTTTGCTACTATGGCTTTCCTGGTCTCAGTTGATGCTTCAGCTCTGCCAGACTTGCGTTCCACTCTGGTAGCTCCACAAGTCTGGGGTCTCTGTGGTGGTCCTGCTCTCACGCCCCCACTAGGCTTGGCACTGTTGGGGTTTCTCTGTGGCAACTCTGACCCCATGTTTCTGCTCAGCATTACTCTAGCAAAGGCTGTCTGCAGTGACTATACCCATGGCAGATCTCTTCCTGGGCCCCCAGACATTTCCATACATCCTTTGAAGTCAGGGTGGAGGCTCCTAAGCCTTCCCAGCTCTGGTGTTCTGTGAGCCTACAGACCTAACACATGTGGACGCCACCAAGACTTCGGTTTGTATTTTCCAAAGCTGCGGGTCCAGTCACACCTGGGGCTGATTTAGCCACAGTTGCAGCAGCCAAAGCAGCTGGGGTGCTGGTGTGGGGAGCAGCATCCCAAGGTGGCCCTGGGCAGTGAGCCCATGGAGAGCGCCTTAGGCCTGTTCCTTAAGACCATTTTGTTTCCCTAGGTGTTCGGGCCTGAAATGGAAGGGTTGGCCCCAGAGGCTTCTGCAGTGCCTTCAGGGCCTTTTTCTCTTTCTTGTGATATTCCCTTTCTTTTTCACTAATCTTTTTAGTTAATCATAGCTGGGCTGCACCATTGCATGCTCTCTGCTTCTTTACCACTTGCTAGGCTACAAGTTTTCTAAATTTTTACACTCTGCTTCCCTTTTAAATTCTGGCTTTACATTATACCTTTGCCACCATAACTTGGTGTAGGGTGCTGCAAGTAGCCATTCAGCTTCCTGAATGTTTTGCTGCTTAGAAATTTCTTCCGCCAAATGCTCTCATTCACAACTCTTAAGTTCCAACTTCCACAAAGACGTAGGGCATGGACACAATGCAGCCAAGTTCTTTGCCAGTTCATAGGAAGGGTGATTTTTTCACCAGTTTCCAAAAACCTCCTTCTTATTTCTATCTGAGATCTCCTTAGAATGATCTTTATAGTCCATATTCCTATCAGCATTCTGGTCGACACCATTTAATCTGCCTCTAAGAAGTTCTAAATCTTCCCTGGTTTTCTTGTCTTCTAAACTTTCACCAGCATCTAGGCTTTTCCTAGCCTGTACCTTCAAATTCTTCCAGCCTCCCCTCAGCATCCACTTCCATAGCTACTTCCACATTTTCAAGTATTTGTTATAAGCAACACCCAGTTCTCTGGTAACAATTTTCTATATTAGTCAGTTTCTGTTGCTTATAACAAAATACACAGAACTGGGTGATTTATAAGTAAACAAAATTCATTGCTTATAGTTTCTGGAGGCTAGAAAGTCCAAAATCCAGGAAACGCATCTGATGAAGGTTTTCTTTGGTGGTAACGTCAGTAACAGCAGGGTATCACATTGTGAAAATGGCAGTGAAGTAGAGCTCCTCACACTCTTATAACGTACGCTATCTGCTTCTGTAGAATTGCTTGCTTAACCTAAATAACTCCATTTTACCCCCTGTCTGACCTGCAGACTACCCGCCCCCTTCTGCATGAGAAACCATTGACCTTCTCATAGAAACAAAAGCCATTGCATAGAAACAGGAGCCATACACAGTAAACTATTACATGGGAACAGGAACCATACACAGTGAACTATTACATGGGAACATACACAGTGAAAAGTTGTATGCTTGATTATTTTAACAGCTTATTCTTGGCTTCTGTGACTTAGTTCCCTAGCTTGCTTTGTGCACCTGGACAAACCAATGTGCCAACAGGATGTAGTTTTTGCTTTTAAAAATCCCACAAGACCAAGGCCCAAGGCCGCTCTTCCTTGGTTGCTCCTTGGGAGATGGACTCTGGCCAGCTGGAGTGAATAAACTGATCTTTTCTGCACGAGTGGCATATAAATGCATGTCTTATGGGAGGGTGCCTCACAACAGCAGAGCAGAGCAAGAGAGAGACAGACTCTTTGTGCTCCCCTTTTAAAGCCCTCCATGCCACACCCATGACCACCATTTTTAATCTGTTCACTATGTTGTGGTCCTATAATATAATCACCTCTTCAAGTCCCCATCTTTCAATTACCATAAAAGGACTTCCCACTCTCCTAACAGTCACAGTGGGGGCTAAGTTTCTAATACATAAAACTTGGGGGACACAGTTCAAGCTTCATTGCGTTTGGGGGACATAATTCAATCCACTACACCTAAGTACCATGCTAATATCACACCTAACAGAATTAATAATACTTGGTCCATAGTCACATTTTTGTTATGGTCTCAAAAATGTCTTTTTGCAGACGTTGGTCTGTATAATGTCCTAACCAGAATCCAAATAAGATTTTACATTGTATATGGATATTATATTTCTTGTCTCTTGTATTCTATAAAACTACCTTACATATTTTATGTCATTGATTTGTTGGAGAAATTGGTTTATCCTAGAGAATTACCCATATTCTAGATTTCAGATTACCTCTATCTGGTATCATTTAGTGTGTTCCTCTATTCCCCATATTTCCTATAAGCTGGTAATTATATATCTGAAGGCTTGAAGAGAGAGCATTATATTCTTTAGGGTTTTTGTTTTTTAATAAGAGTACTTTATAGGTAATGCTGTGTACTTTTCTTATATCACATCATTAAGCACATAATGTATGGTTGTCTCACTTAATAATGTTAAAATTAATCAGGCTTAGTGTAACAGGTGCTCCTCAAGAACATTCATTTTCCTTAATCTGAATAAGGAGGTATCACTTTAAGAAAATACCAGATTTAAAAAATTAAACTTGGGGCCGAGCCCGTGGTGCACTCGGGAGAGTGCGGCGCTGGGAGCGCAGTGACGCTCCCGCTGTGGGTTCGGATCCTATATAGGGATGGCTGTTGTGCTCACTGGCTGAGCGCGGTGCGGCCGGTCTCAAAAAGGACAAAAAATAAATAAATAAATAAATAAAATTAAACTTATGAAGCAATAAGGAAGAAGAAGGGGGGTAGGAAATATGATTCAAGGCTTCGGTTTTCTTAAACACAGAATATATTGGTTATATTAAAATCGAATCTCTTGCACCAGTCAGCCACCTAAATAAATGAATGAATAAATGAATGAATGAATAAATAAATAAATAAATAAATTGAATCCTAATTACCTATTATAGACCAATGAAACAAATATTTACTGGCTCAGGGTAAGTACCTCCTCTCTTCTCTTTCCTCAGTGATAGCAGCTTTGAGATCTCAGCTTCTTCAACTCTCTTTTGTTTTTTTGGCCACACTTGGCTTAATTTATGTAGTTTATAGTTGACTTGAAGTATAACATGGATTGAGAAACATAATACCAGAAGATCTTAAAGGGCTTCCCAACTGAATTTCTATGATAAATTTTTTCCAAGTAATGGTAATTAACTTTTTAAACAGGGTTCAACGTCGCCAGTAACTGTTTTCAAAGGTTCAAAGAAACCTTACTTAAAAGAATGCATTTTGATTATTAACCATGATACTGGTGAATGTCAACTAGAAAAACTCAGCAGCAACATCACTGTAAAAAGAACAAGGTATGTGGTTTAATGAAATTATTTTTATCGACAGTTAAACTTCTAAGGAAATGTCAGGAAAAAAAGTTACTGGGTTAAGTTACATTATTATATAAGGGTTATTTCTGTTTGGTACAAAAATGTTTTGATTTTTTCCTAAGTTTAAATTTGGTGGAGATCCTTAGCCGAAAGCTATTACCATTGCCACATCAGTCTGTGATATAAAAAAGTTTGTTTTGGGCCGGCCCGGTGGCGCACTGCTACAGTGCTCTCCGCTTGGGAGCGCGGTGGCGCTCCCGCCGAGGGTTCGGATCCCACATACAGACCGGTTCCCGCTCACTGGCTGAGGGGGGCGGGGGAGCATCACCGAGGGTTGCGTTCCCGGTGCCGGTGCCGGCC